ATGCCCGCTTCCCTCGCAGCAACCACCGGCCAGGCCCGGGGCTGCGTGGAGAGACCTGCTGCGCCCCTGACAGTAGGTTTGCCCGGGAGCCCGAAAGCGAGGGAGGGGCGGCCTGTGCTCTCTTTCTGGGGATGCCAAAGATTTCCAGCTGATGGCAGAAGGTCATTGGGGTGTGTGTGGAATAGAGTTCGATGGCATCTGCATTTTGTTTTAATTAATTTTTTAAAAAATCAATTAAAATTAATTTTTAAATAATTATTTTTAAAAAAATTAATTTTATTAAGGAAAAAAAATCTTCATCTATAATTTTTTTTAATGGTCTTACACCGTTCTCATACATGAAGGCTTCTCTCTCCTACAGGCTAAGCCTGTTTGTCCATCTAGGCCGGTATTTGTGGTTGGGTAGTGCAGTTTATTGGACTCCCAAAACACTGGTGGTTTAGAGCCGGCTGTGCTTTTGCAACCGTGGGTCTCCAGGGCAGAGGTCTTTCCTCTTTTCCATTTCTTTCTTCTTTGTCTGAAAATATGGGAGGACAGCACACATATGAAACATGTGCTCCGACAGGAAGCTACGGTCCCACAAGCATCCCTTATTGCTCTGTAAGGTAGAATGTGTTTGTTACATGTCTGTCCCATCTTTCCTGCAGTGGACTGAAGAGGATGCCCCTGGCTCTCCTCCTTCCTGCTTTGTCCTCACAACCACCCTGTGAAATAGCCCAAGCCCAGAGGAGCCCACAGTCAGCAGTTAAAACGCCTTGTGTTTCATGGCTTTTTACTGACTTGAACCTAGGTTTCCTCAAGTCTCCGCCCAACAAAGTAACGGCATCGTAATGATTTTCATTAGAGGTTGCTATACATGGCATGTGGGACGGCATCTCTGTTATGTCCACCCTCAGACCTTTGGATGCTGTTATATGTTCAGTCGAATCACTTCTGACCTATGGAGACTCTTATGAATTAATGACCTTTAAGAGATCTTGTCATTACCAGGTCTCCTGCTCTCAGGTCTTGCAAACTAAAGGCAGTGGTTTCCTGTATCCGGACAACCCATCTCTTCTTCTTTTCCTACCACATTCAGTTTTCCTTATAATTACTGTTTTCTTCCAGTGAGTCTTGTATTCTCATGATATAGCCTAAGTATAGTCTCTAGTTTAGTCTCTACAACTTCTGCTGGTCTCTCTGGTAGTCTGCGGAAATTGTGGTGAGTGGCTCTGATTGTGTCAGGAGACTGACAGCAGTATCATCAAGAGAGTAGACTTTGTATTTTATCCCCATAATCGCCTGAGGAAAGTTGAATTGAGAGATGCCTAAGATCACTCGAGGAGCTTTGTGGCTGGGGAGGGATTTGAAACTGAATCTACCCTAAACGTGTAACCATTATAGCATGTTGCCTGCTTCTCATTTCATCTTCTTGGGATAGAAAACAACACCGTAAAAGCACTTTGATTATTTTCCAGCATAAACACCTCTTTCTTACAGAATGCTGTGTAAGTGCCTTAATATCTTTGTAAGAACTGTTATAATTTAGTGGGCTTGGGCCAGGAGTTTGAATCTACTTGTGTCTTCTGGGAGACTGATCAGCTGAGATCACCTACAGCATGTATGACTTATGAGATTGTGTGTCCTATCCCTTGTGCAGCCATAATGCACAGTCTCAAAGCACCACCAGAAAGAGGAATGGGTAAACTATTTATGAATATTTAATGACCTAGAAAACCCTATGACCTGATGGCATATATACATATGTGTACAGTAGTCTGTTGGTTGCGCTTTGCCCAACATAGAACATGTTGACTTAGAGTGATCCTAGTAGGGTTTTCAAAGTCTGAGATAGCTAAGGAGTGCTTCTACCATTGCCACTACCTAATGGGAAAATTTGAACCCAGGTCTCCTAGTCCTGCACTCTGTCCAATGCTGGTTCTCACTTAGTATGTTTAACCTCTCAACACATGTATTTATTTAAAAGACTTCTAAACCAACTCTTAGGGCATATCCTCCCAGGACAGCATATGATAGTGGTAAAAATGGTGCAGTGTAAGAAAACAGTAGTAAACACAATAATAAAATCTTAGTTAGTTATTAAAACCAGACAGCACCACGTATTGGCCCCAGTACAGCTTTGTTAACTTAGTTATAGGCCAGGGTAAGCAGGCAAGACTTTAGGTCTTCTTTGAAGGCATGTAACAATCAACCTTACAGATGTCAGTTAAACCCCGAACTGGAACTAGAATCTGGAACTAGTGGAAAAGTGGCTAAGTTGAGAGAGAACTTGGGGGGGGGGGAGTCAGAGAAGTGGCAAAGCACACTTTGGGTATGCCCTGACCCATAATCAGTGTCTCCTCTTCCCCTCCCTTCCACCACTGTGTAACATCTCTTTCCTCATGTCCAGTTGTTATCAAATGGTATTACTCTGCTTCTTTCTCTGCTGTCATTAGGGCTCAAGTCTAGAAAATATGGGACAATGTCTTCATTATGGTAGGGTGTGGAAAGATTTGATTCTGGAATGCCATTTCAGCATTGTCTCCATATCCCCTGTTTTCTCTGTCTCGAAGCATTGTAAAGATAAGTCGCTCTTTTGTCTATGCCCCAGTTTCTTGATCTTTGATGTTGTGAAGGAGATGCCAGTGACAGATGCCCAACAAAATAGTTTTTTTAAAAAAAAACAGAGCTAAGCAATTTATTGTAGAGGTGGGCAGCTTGCACCCTGTAATCTGCATATGGCTCTTGAATCCTTTATTTTTGCTTCTTTGCAAGTTGTTCTACCAAAATTGTGCAATTGTCCACACTGATGGTTTCGTTACCTTCCTTTTGCCTTGCTTGTGACTTCCTTTAGTGACAGAACCCTGTGGGGTCCTCTTGTCACCTTTCACCGAGTCATCCACTACAGAGCTGCTGGAGTTTCCGCTGAATTCTAGTGTCAGTGTCAGTGAGGGAAGAATGTGGTTCTTCAAGGATTGTGGAGGGGGTCAGTGCAACCTATTGCCACCACACAGTTGCAAACCTCTGGTTTATTGCTTAATATTCAGCAGACCAACTTCAAGCTATATTTAGATTTAGGTAACTGTGCTTGCTTCAGCTGGACCTGTAATCTCTCCTAGTTACTGCTTTGTTTCGCATTTGTCTTCTTTAAACAACTCACCCAAAAATTATTTAAAGCAGAGACCGGAAATACCACTGGTGTTTTGTCACATGAGGATATTTAACAAATGAAAAGGAGGCTGGAAAATTTAAGATACCTTTAAGGATTGCCAGAGGAGAACCACTGTAAAAAAAAAAACTAAGAAGAATTAGGTGGAATTTGAAAATAGGTCATGTTGGTGGTAGTGGTGGTGGTGGTGGTTTGTGCTACCTTTGACTTATGGTGATCCTTTTAATGAGAGGTCTTCAAAATGTGTAGTCCTCAATAGCTCTGCTCAGCTCTTACAAACTCAAATCTGTGGTTTTCTTTATTGAGTCAATCAATATTTTATATTTATCTTTGCTTGCTTCCTCAACTTTTCCTACCATTATTGTCTTTTCCAGAAAGTCTTGCCCTCTCATGATATGATGGCCTCAGTTTCTACCTTTTTGCTTTGAGAGAAAGTTCAGATTTGATTTGATCTAGAACCAACTTACTTGTCTTTGTGGCGTGGTATGTGTAAAGCTCTTTTTCGGCTTCATATTTCAAATACAGTAAATGATTTTTTTTCCTGACATCTTTCTTCACTGTTCAGCTGTTACACCTATATGTAGTAACTGGAGGTACAACAAAGTAGATTATCTTGGCCATGGCCTACAGTGACACGTCCTTACATCTAATGATATTTTCTACTTCCTTCATTGCTGCCTTTCCAAGTATCAGCCCTCTTCTGATTTCTTGGCTGCAGTCTCCATTTGAATTTATGATTCATCCAAAGTGTACAAAAATCTTGGGACAATTTCAGTTGTTTCATTGTCAACATGAAGGTTGTGCAATTCTCCTATAGCCATGATTTATATCTTCTACTGTGATGTTGAGTTGTCTACTCTTTTTTAAAAACTGATCTATGTTACATGGTTGTTTGGGGGTAAAATGAGAAAGTGAAACTGTCAATGGACCCCTGAAGTCCCTGGAAGAAGTTATTGTTCAGTATCTTGGATTTATGTGAAGAAGACCATGTTTGCTTTAAAATATCCTTAATATGTATGTTACCATCTAATAATGTGAGTAATTGTTTAGTAGTGTTGTCTGTGGCAAATGGAAAATAACTTTCAAATACAGCTAGTGACACCTTTTATTGAGCCAATGGAGGAAGCCACAGTCCATGAAACTTCTGCCAAACAATTATTTGTTGTTCTTTTTGTTACTCCCCTGGAACTTAATTTCTTGCACATTCATCCATTTGTTTACAACAGCATTAACTACCAGAGGCAGTGAATTTTCAATTGAGTATTTGTGCAACGTGCATGTGTATGTAGAGTATCCATCCATATGTGCTGCTATTTGTTTTGAATTTACAGGGAATGAACATTTTGATACATAGAAAACCAAATTTCTCCCAATAGGATGGAGGTGGTGAACACAATCCAATCTGATTTCAGCAACACCAAAACATCTTTTCAGAAAGGGCAGATGCTCCTTTTGGACAGCCTGGTGGAGCAGCCTAAGAAAGGAACAGATGTTCCCAATCATCTTCTAGAATCCAGTAAGCAATTGTCAAGTCAAATGTGTGACACTCAAAGTTTTCAGAATACTATATGATTTATAACACTCCTTTATAGTTTGAGTCTGTGGAGGTCCGTCATAGCTGATATTTTCCCCTGATCTGGTTAACTTCATTGTGAAATCAGGTAACTTTATCAATTATATCAGTTTTCATCTGGATATCAAGGTATAAGTTGTTTCATTGTTCAAATGCTCTAATCTCTCTTCAGAGGGTGAGAATAACCATTGTTTCATTTATAGTGAAATAAGTCTTTTTCTAGACATCTACAACTGGCACATCAGTTTGCCAAATTTATGAGCTTTATTCTTCTAATTGCTTCTCTGCTCCATATGCATAAAGAATAATCCAGAATGATTTGAAAAATGTAACTTTTATTATTGAATTATTATGTGATTTGCTGGTCTTGTGAAGCCAATGGCTTTTTACATACATTTTGCCAATCTTGTAAAATTAGTTATTGGCCCTGAAATAACCCCTAATAGGCATTCATTGCATGAAAGGGCTGTTGTTGGTATAACAGCTGATGATTTTTTGTGTAAAGAAAATGCATGAGTCTACCTAAAGCATACTCTACCTATTCTTTAGGTAGCATCTACGTAGCATCAGCCTACCCAAACTGGGGCTAAATATCATTAAACAAATAGAGCAAGTATGCCTGACTATAATTGGGCCAATCCAAACCAGTATACTGATTATTGTTTAAGTTTTCTTTCTGTTGATTCTCTTGTTTTTAGAGATTTATACAAAGCTTTTAAGAAATGATGTCATACAAGCTAAGCCTGCCATCATGCATTACGGAGGATATGAAATTGAAAAACATCACCAGCAAATCTTGGCAAGTAATGAATGTTGAAATGAGATTGTATGCAGGTATATTACCCAACCATCTTTTAACACTTAACTGGATCGCCTTCTAATGATTTTTATAAACAAAGTATCACATAAGGGTTTTTCTGGGGCTTTTGTTTTCAATTAATGTTAATGTTTGTTTTGTTCCACAGAAGCTTGTGAATATTTCTGCAGATGTTATAAACATCCATATTATTCCACCAGAAACAAAATACTTTGAGATCAAATATAACAAAACAGTAAGTGTCAGCAGGAACTTTCACCTTTGATTTTTCTCTTCCTTTTCAACCCTCATTTCTTTGAATTTCAAAAGGTATAGGAACAGTTACTGAGAAATTGCTTTGCTTTGTTTTATAGCACCGACTTGTACCTGGGTTGTCTTTTACAATTACCGTTGATTTTTGCCCTGATGAATGGCGATACTATTATGATTGCATTCGAATCCATTGTCAGGTAAGACACTGCGAAAGATGTATGCATGATGTCTGTCTCCTCTCATAGACAAGTGAAAATAAAAATGCTTGATGACACTCATGAGTAATGAAGGGTTTGAACAGATAGCATCCATTGTTTGCTTGTGTGTGAACCTAATCCATAGTAGTACTGTGAAATTGGGATTAGCCTGGGTGGGGGAAGAGCACGCCCCTCTTTCCATGAAATGTTTACTTCTGTAATAACACCTAAGCAGAGCTGAAGTGTACGGAAGAATGTTAGTCCAGGCTTAATTGTATTGGGGGACTAGCCATTTTGCCATTCAGAATAGGTGGTCTGTATAATGGTACTTTCAAACACAATCCTTTCTGGCTTCTGAAATCTGCTAATGGCAAAATTTATCTTGGTATCTCCCTTGTATAAGCTCATTCTGCAGAAAATTTAATCATGTAAGTTCCTCTGCGGGATGTTCATCTTTTTTGGCAGTCTGAGGCTTGAGTTTGCAAAAACTGAGCAGCACTCTTGAGGACAGGATATTGTGGACGTCTCAGGCAATTTGATGAAACATAATGACAGCAATGAAAACAACCAGGCAGGGTTCTCTCTGTTCTTGTGTTTTACCTGCAAAAAGCACCTTGGTTTGGAGTGCTTTTCTAAATAGTTGTTGTTGATGATGATGATGATGATGATGGAAAATCGTCTTTGGGATGTAATCTAGGACAGGGATAGGCAACAGAATACAAGTTACAATTTGTCTTATGCTAAACGACAGGATTTCAGCCACAGAATTCATTTGCAAATCATTGCAGATTGTCTCATAATGGTAGTAGAGCTATGTGCATTATTATTAGTGCATGCCAGGAATTTTCAGAGAAGTGCTATAGCCCAAGTACCCTTGCTTCTTGTAACTACAGAACCGGGAGATAGTTGCCACAGTACAAAGCAAGCCATGTTTATCCAGTGTAATACTCCATGTAATTTTCTTCTTGTTATTTATTACCTTAGGAGGACGACACATTGTTGGTTCCCCTGCATGCCTATCCTGTGATGAATGCTGTGGAGTTTCCGTCCTACATTAGTTTGTCTGATGTTCCCCTGGGACAAAGGCAAGCAGTCATCACAGTAATAATTTCTTATTGTAATCGTTTTCTAATGCATTGCTAAAAGAATTAGCAGAATGGGAACCCAGATGTGGCAGTCATGTGGAGGAAGAGGACAGCTTTTCTTCATATCTTAATAGCTCAATCACAAAACCTAATTGGAGCTACTTCTCCTCCAGCAATATTTATATAATTTCCTTTTCGATGGCTAGGTGTCATAAAATGTAGTTGATTGTTTTGTAAGATTATCTGAAGCTGTTGCACTTTTTATTTTTGAAGATTCACTGATTTCCATGAATCAGACTTGTCACTGACCTGGCTTTGGTCACTGTGGCAACTTTGTTGTATAAATAAGCGGTCCCCAACCTTTTTCAGTCCATCGACTGCCTGAGGAAGGTGGGGCACCACTTGTGTGCATGCGCAAACAGCAGCACAGCGCTCATCTGGGTGCGCATGTGCAAACGGCGGCACGCACGCAGGCTGTGCGGGGATAAGTGCATGCGAGGGTGGGGCGGGAGGTCTGTCTTGGCGGCCTGGTCTAGCTCAGGCCACAGACCGAGGGTTGGGGACCTCTGGTATAAATGATGTCCCTTGGCACTGTTCTCTTATAACATTGTATCATAGGAACATAGGAAGCTGTCTTCTGTCAGATCAGACCCTGCTCAGTATGGTCTGCGCTAGACTTCCCCAACCTGGCTATCCCTCACAATTTTAGTCTACATTTCCCATTATGCCCAGCCAACAGGGTCAGGGATGAGGGAGTTGTGCCCTCCTGCACATTAGAAGGGCTGGCAGGCTGGAGAAAGCTGGTAAACCCTGAATGGCAGCAACTCTCTAGGCAATGTCAGGTGGTGTTAGAGAGTGAACTTGGGGTATTCCACATGTAAAGCCATGTGCTCTGCCAACGAGCTATACCCCGAGTGATAGGAAGAATCATGGAGCCAGCAGCAGCAGCAGCGAAATTGTGAGTGGACGGTCTGGCCTCATGGTACCGGGCGCTCATTGTCACCACCTTGTGGGGGTATTCATATACAAATACCCCCCTCTCTACTTATTATACTTTTATTCCAAAGTCTGCCATTCCTTTCACCTCTCCTGGGTTCCATGCTCAGTCCCCAGCCCACATTATTTGTCCATGCCTTCTTTGGGCATGAGCGCTACCCAAGTTAGAAATGTTAAAAACTCAGCAAACAATGAGTTGTTGTAGTTCTATTCTTTATCCAACATATTTCTTAACAGTACTCTTCAAAGAATTGCTCCATATAAACTACATTCCTTGCTAATCAGTTGGACAGGATTTTAGACAAACAGTTTATAGAATATGGCAGTCATCTGATTAAATTGTGTATTTTTTCTAACATGATGGAGAATGTCCAGTGTTTTTTCAAACTGTTTTGTTTTGATTACCTGAAGTCAGGCATGCACAAATTGATGTCCTTATAGATAGGGGATTTGGGGAAATGTATAATCCAATGAAAAGGGGCCAGTTTAGGATCCAAAGTTGTTATGCCCATCAAAGAAGCATTGTTGATTTGTAGGTATGCCCTCCCATCCTAAACCTAGGATGAAGTCCTAAGCCTAATCAAAGTAATTTGTATAAGTCTTACCAATACCAGTGGATGCTTTCACACCTGTAAGATCCAAGATAAATGCAAAGCGAAGTCAACGTGGTTTGTACTTCTTCAGGTGACAGATAGTGAAATCATATTTCTGAACCCTCCCAAGGAATTGTTCCTATGATTTGGATTTTTAAAATTTAGTGGTGTATTAAAAATGGCAGCCTTCTGCCTATAGTCACAGCAACTGCACTGAATTATTTTGCTGAATATAGCAAAACAAACAAACAAACAAACCAAAAAATGCTCAGACTACGACATTGCACAGTGTTTAATATAGAATTCACATGTGTGCAATCCTACATGTGTTCACTCGGAAGTCCCATTGAATTCAGAAGACTTTACTCCCAAGTAAGTGACTTTAGGTTCAGAGTTTCAGTTCTGCATTCTTGAGAGAAGAACATCTAAATTCATTTCAGTGTAATGTTGATTTTCGTACAGTTGCTTTTAAAAAAAATGAACAGGTGCTAATTGTAACAATAATTTCTTCATTGCCAGGTTCTTCTGGTTAATATGTTAGTTTGGCATCAGATGCATATTCAGTAAGTTTGTTTCACCATAATTTAATAACCAGAACACAACTTAGCCTTCATTGTTCAGTATATAGCATTCTGGCAGCATGTATTATTAAACAAAAACATTTTTGGAAATTATTGTCCAAGTCAATGAACTTAAAATAGGATCTTAGTCCAGTAAGCAATTTGTTATCCTATAAATTACTCTTCTCATTTTAGACCACTATTTATATATTTCTTTTTTGAGATATCTCTTTATTTGTCATAATGCAGGAGAAAGATTGTGAGGAACATGAATTTAATTGTTTTGAATCATCTTATTCTGCTTCACCTTTTTTCAGTAAGGAGTATGTGATCCCTCTACAGTGCAGCTGTCCCATCGATTTTGAGTTCCATGTTGAGTATCTTCAGCCTCACAAAGCCTTTACAGTTCATCCAACATCTGGTAAGAATTGAGACAGGTAGCATTCATTAATATTTGAAAGAATCTGACCATTATCTTAATTGTTTATAAAAGAAGTCAGTCACAAATTAAGAGCAGAAATCGCGCTGGAGGAGATGTAGCCATTTAGGTAGTCTCATGGCTACAGTTAGAATGTACTAAGTTCTCTCTGTCTTTTGAGACTGATCCTAATCTTGTTCGTGTAAGTACCACCAAATTCAACTGGACTTTCTCCTACTTGGAATGGCAATCTCAGGAGGCGAGGTACAACACTTTTTGCTGTAAACTGCTTCATCTGTGTCAAGAATATCCAATCCTGAACACAGCTCCTCTGAACCAGTATATCCACAGAACATTGAACCATCTGTTGGTACAGTGGAATAATACAGAGCAGGTTGAAATTCTGAATGAAAATAATGGAAGAAAATAATGAAGGAAGAAAAGGACAAAGCTTCTGAAGGAGACAAACTTGAGAGAACTTTTTTCTAGGGTTTTTTTTTTTNGGAAGGAGGTGGTAGTTCAGTTTTTACCAAGCCTGTTACAGCCACTAACTACTTCATTGCAAGATTTTCCAGGAAGAGAGGTGGAGGAGGTTGAAACAGGCTTTAGAGACAGCCCATAATTAGAGGTGAAAGTGCATTCATGTTTCTGAGATGTGACAGTGACAGTTTTTCTGTTCTTCTGAAATCAGGCCTAAAAGGATTCTGCAGGTGCTTTAAAGGTGCCTGACTCCCGAAGACCAGCCATCAAAAAAAAGCAAGCTAATCTGCATAATCTTCAAAGTGAGATGCACTTGTGCTGTGACACACAAATGCTCCTATTAATGTAGAATTTCTCTTTTCCAGTCATGGGCTGTGGCTAACATCTTTTTCTGGCCTGTCTCTATCGAACCCCATGGCCCCGCCCCACCATGATCATAGACTAAAGACTGGTCATTGGATGAGGTGACCTATGTTCTACAAAATTTGATTATGCTGAATAAAACATATTACCCTTAAAAGTGACAAAAAACTATGTGAGGGTTTTTTTTAGGTTGCTTCGTGTTCGGGTGGTTTGGGGTTTGTTTATTCTTTGCTTCTTTTTTGCTTTAAAAAAACGTACAACAGCAGTTCCAAGGACCAAAGCAGACATTGCTTTTAAAATATAGTTAGCCACTCCTGTTCTTCTCTAGGATAACTGTATGGAGCATAATCTGGATGTGGACCTTAGTGTATGCATAGAGGGAGAGGCTTTATTCATATACCCTTCTTCCGGTAACAGCCAAGTATGAGCCCACTGCACCTAAAATTTATAATGCAAAATATTCGTTAAAGCAGTGGATATATATTTTGCTGTCACAGTGAAACAACCCTAGTCAGCACCTAAGCAAAGATAGAACAATTAAAGTTCTCCCTTAGAATCATTGAATCATAGAAAAGTGAAATTGGAAGGGGCCTACAAGGCCATCAAGTCCAACCTCCTGCTCAGTGCAGGAATATAAATCAGGATATCTACCAGGTGATTATCTAAGTTTATCTTGAATGCCTCACCAACTCCCGAAGTACAGTGGTGCCCTGCATGACGATGATAATCCGTCCCGGGAAAATCGCTGTGTAGCGAAATAGTCATGTGAAAACCCTTTCCCCATTGGAATGCATTGTAACCCGGTTTAATGTGTTCCAATGGGGAAAATACCTCGTCGTCCAGCAAAGATCACCAATAGGGAAGCCATTTTGCAAGCGCCGATCAGCTGTAAAAATGGCTGCCCTGTGAAGCATGGGTCCAGAAAACACAGGGCAGCCATTTTGCGAAGCTGACGATCATCGGAAAAAATCATCGTCTTGCGAACAAACGGTTCACGAAGCACGGACCTAATTGACGTCCAACGAAAATCCCCCATTGGAATGACTATTTTGTGAATCGCCATAGCGATTCATCGTTGTGCAAATTTGTTGTTTAGCAGTGTCGTCGTCTTGCGAGGTATCACTGTAACTGGTTCCACTGTTGTACTGCTCTAACAGTTAGGAAGTTTTTCCTGATATTCAACCGAAATCTGGCTTCCTTTAACTTGAGCCTATTGTTGCGTGTCCTGCATTCTGGGATGATCGAGAACAGATCTTGCCCCTCCTCTGTATGAAACCTTTCAGATATTTGAAAAGTGACATCATATCTCCCCTCAGTCTTCTTTTCTCAGGGCTATACATGCCCAATTCTTTCAACCTTTCCTCATAAGGCATGGTTTCCAGCTCCCTGATCATCCCTGTTGTCCTCCTGTGAACTTGTTTCAATTTGTTAGCATCCTTGAAGTGTGATGTCCAGAAGTGGACAGAATACTCAAAGTGAGGCCTAACCAGTGCTGAATAGAGGGGGACTAGCACTGTGCGGGATTTGGAAACTATATTTCTATTAATGCAGCCTAAAATAGCATTTGCCTTTTTTGTAGCCACATCACACTGTTGGCTCACAGTTAGCCATGTTTGGTTCCTTGTAAAAATTTAAAAGAGTGCCGTTTTTCACAAGGTGATTGTAAAAGGAAGTATTTTCTTGTCAACATTGATTTAATTAGCCTGTCTGTTATTTCTGACAGGCTAATTCTCTTATTCTTAGAATGAGAATTGGCACTATGCAGTACTTCAGATTATGTATTGCTTTATTACCTATATTAAACTTTACCTTTTTAATGGCAATATTTTGGTTGTACAGTAGGACCCCCGTATCCACAGGATCAGTATTCATTTATCCACAGTATGAAAATATTAAAAATAGTAAAAGAAAAACAATCCATGAAAATCTACTTTCACATATATTGCAGGAACTGGCCACTGGAGAGAGCCAGAGACCACGCTATGAATACTTGCTAGTGATGAATTTAGGTAATACATGTGAAAATAATTTTTCTGTTTTTTTCCCTTTTACCATTATAATGGTAAAAGGGGAAAAACCAGAAAAAATATTTTCACTGAAAGAAATAGCATTTGCTATTATCTATGGTTTTCAGTATCCCCTGGGGGACCTTGGAACTAATCCCCAGTGGATATGGGGAGGGGAGGGGGGTCGTACTGTATCGGCTTTCCTATCCATTGTGAGGACCTGTGGTTGTGAACTGTAACTCTGAATGTGAACTTGCTTGGCTCCCTATCTGAATCACTCCCCGATGTGGATTTTTCGTGTAAAACAGAAAAGGAAGTGTGTGCTATGTGTGTCTTCAGCTAGGGTCAGCTTTGACTCTGGACTTGTGGAGTAGCCAAGGGGGTCGTGTGCACATCACTCTCCAATACCAAGCCAGATCATGTAGGTCACAGCTAGCCAGTCTGTTTGTGTATGTGTGTAATTTCCTTTCCACTGCTGCTATAACGAACTGATTTTGTGAGATAGAAGTATGAAGTAGAAGTAGAATTGCTCTGCTCCCAGGGACTTGTTGGCATTTCAGTCAGCTGCTTGAACGCATCTCTTTTTTAACATTTCTCAAGCTGGCCTTGCACATATCGGTGACTATTTGACCCTGCAAATTTTTTTCACTTGTACAAGTGTCCACAGTCAGGTTTTGGACTGAGGGAAGGGGTTGCCTTCCCAACATTTAGGGGAGGACCCCCCGCCCAGCCTTTTTCCATGATTGTCTCCTGATTTGAGATGACTTCAAGATGAAGATACTAACTATATTGTATTTGTTTGTTATAGGAATAATTCCAGCCAATGGGAGAGCAGAAGTGGTAATTAAATTCACACCGTTCAAATACGGGACAGCCCAGATGAAAATCCAGTTGTGGATTTCTCAGTTTAACTCAAAACCATATGCATGTGCATTCACAGGAACATCAACGCCACAGCCAAGTTTAATGTATGTGCAAGTATTTTATATATATTCTAATTTACTGGGAGCTTTTAATGAAGTAATATTTACTGTAAATGTTCCCCTTGAAAGGGAACAATATCTGTATTAAAATCAGTTTAACAACAAAATCACTGCAAGTGTCACTGCATTCTACAATGACGAGATACTCTAAGTTCAAACGCCCAACATTTTGTTCTTCATGTCCCTAAAATCCATGTGAAAAACTGCAGCTTTATTTTTGCTTAAAGGTATTAAAAGGCAAATCTTTCAAAATCCAGGAAAGCAGATTTTGAGAAGCAAGAAAAAATTTTGCAGAGCACACCAAAGTTTGTGGAAAGAGATGTGGCGCGTTTGCCACAGAAGACAGTATCACCAAAGGAGAAGCGGCACAACGTCCTTCCAAAAGTGCAAGTAAGGGCCAAAGGAAGAAGACAGGAACCCCTCGTTGTTACAGAGACATTGCACGTTTAACTCCCTTTGACATGTCATATTTTATTTCATAGGCCATCGAATATAAAAGCTTGCAGTTCCCGGCCGATTTGTCAAATCCTTACGCTGTAGCAACTGTTTTGATTCAGGAGCCTGGCAAATTAAAGATTAAACACTTGAGAGAAGGTAACAGAGTTGAATACTCCAGTATGAAATTTCTGAGCAGGACTGTGATGGTTAAAAGTTGCTCTTAGCAATACTAAGTGAGCATGTAATTGCAAAAATTGCATATCATTCCCTTCTTTTCCCTCTGTGTTCATTTCCTTTCTTTTCCTCCGCAGTGTCCCTTGGACTGTTGGCTTGACTATTAATCCCTTGAGTCAGAGACCTGTTCTCTTGTGGTTTGCAAAACATTGACAGTGCCAGTTTAAGTAATATCTGTGGAGGAATGAGCAGCATAATAATTCTGCTTCACGTTCTATGAATAAAAATACACTGATTCGCCCCTGGTTATTTTTAGGACACTCAGCAAACATACCAATGCTTTTGACAATGGAAGTATCTGCTGATTTTGAGTGTCTTACAAATAATTGTAGTTTGTTAAATGGGAGTGGTCTGCACAGAAGAAATGGGATTTTGGCCAGTGTCCACTGGGGTGTTTCCATTGATAGCAGCAATGATTACCAGTAGAAGTGGGAAGGGGACAGTCTTTTGTTCCTTGCCCCTGAGTATTCTAAAAACAGCTTCTTGAGGGTCAGGAACTTCTTCCCAAGCAGACTTTGAACATTAAGGAGAGCTACAGCAGGAAAGAGCAGAAGGTCCTGGGGCTGTCTTCCTATAGAAGAATGGATGGGAGTTAAGCAGACAGTCTTTGATTTTCATTTATACTTAGATTATAGATTAGTTGGTTGGATTTCTTGACTTAGTATGGTTTTAGTACAGCGCTATGTTAGTGTGGAGTAAAATCCAATTTCTTCTCCTCTGTCATTTCCCAGCCCTCCTGGTCATATTTGGTGGGTGGCGCTAAGGACACAGATTAGAGGAATGTGCTTCCACCGCACAGTTCAGTCTACTTGCTAAATCCATTTTTGTGCATATTAACCATCGTGATTTTTTGGCTTAGAGCACGTAATGCCTCACCCTAATCTAAGTAATGTGGTCTGTTCCATCTGAAGCACTCTGCTCCGGTTTTAACAGAAGACCTTCAACTCTCTTCTTGCTAGACAGTCCTGTGTAAAAAGCAAGTGTTATAGTATTGCAATGACACTTGGCAAGACCTGGGTTTAAGTCCCTGCTAAGCCATAAAACTCACTTGGGCCTCCTTTTTGCTCGCCCCTCCCTCCAAAATGTGGAGTCTCTCCCTAGCTAAATCTTTCCCCTGACCTTTTCCATCTTGTTACTGTAGAAGTTTAGCCCTGACCTTGGTGTGAAGCAGACTTGCTGTCAGTGACTAATACTATTCTATTTATCGGGAGGATTCCGTGTATTTTAGACATATTTTTGCTGTCAATGCTAATTTTTTAAATTCTGATATTTTTCATGGATTTATTGTATCTTCGTATACACACTATAAAAAAGCAAATGCCCTTTTGGTAGGTATCAATCAAATAAACATCACATTCCCCGAATGTCAAATGCTGCATTGTAAAGTTGAGATGTTGCCTGATATAAACAGATCTTTAAGACCATTAAATTTCAGCATTCCAAAATCACATTTTCCATGTTCATAAATAAGTTTAATGGCATTCTGAATTGACTTCCTGTTTATATCTGTAGCCAGTGACAATACTGGAGGACTATTTTTGCTCCATTCCTTGAGCATCTTATTCAGTACCTGTCCATATCTGTGTCCTATAGTTCTCGGAGGACAAGGCGATGGAGGAACTCAAACAAGGCAGGTGAGAGAAGCCGTCTTTGAACTGAAAGTCAAACAGGAAATGCAAGAAGAGCTAAACAATCAACTGAAATGGTGAGTTTTGACTGATAGGCATAAATAGTACGAAGCATTGTGACTGGTGGTTATTATGTTTTTTATATGAATCTGTAAATGAGCTGTAAAGATAAGTGAAAAAACCTCTTTGGATTTTACAGTATATTGATATGCCTTTGCACTAACAGAATAGGAAGAGCTGTGCTGGATCAAACCAAAATTCTGTCCGGGCGTAATCTTTGTTATTCCCCCACCCTGCAAAACTGCTATCTGGTGTGTGTCACACAGAATTTCAGGACATGGGGGAATCTGCCAAGATCAGGTCCCCTTACCTTGCACTTGGATAAGATTTTTCCACAAGACTGTCATTGGTTACAACTAGAGATGGACACGAACCACTGGTTCAGTGGTGTGTGCTGGTTTGTCCTTCAGACAAAGAGGTGTTTGGCATTTCCCAGCCCGCTTCCGCCAGCAGGCGCCCACTCAGAGGTCGCACTTTGGCTTCCCTGCCCCGCCTGCTCCCGCCAGCAGGCGCCCACTCAGAGGTCGCACCTTGGCTTCCCTGCCCTGCCTGCTCCAGGCGCTGCCTATGAGTGGGCGCCCACCAAAGGAGGTAGGGCTGGAAAACGCCAATCACCTGTTTATCCTAAGGACGATCCGCCATGAACTGACAAACCAGCGGTTCATGCCTGTCTCTAGTTACAACCTGTTGATTACAATCTGTTCTGAAATTATTCATGTACAGTAAGTAGTACCTCAGTTTGTGAAATGGATCTGTTCTACGAGACGCTACGTAGTACGGAAATTTCGCAAACTGAAACGTCAATTGCGCTATGAAAGGGGCGACACTATAGGTGCAATGCGCCCTGGGAAAACCCTTTCATAGTGTGCAAATAAGAAAAGAAAACAACGTAAACCGGGGCTTTATTTCTTATAGATTTCAGTTTGTAAACCGAAAATTACGTAAACTGAGGTATTTGCAAACCGAGGTACTACTGTACTAATATAATTATAGTCGCTTGACTGACATACTGTAGTTTTGCTCCCCATTCCAAAAGAAACAAGTCCCTAAAGTATCAAAGCACTTGAAAGTAATGGGACACAATTGTATTGAAATTACTAGGCTTTAAACATGCTTAACTTTGGAATGGTCTATTTACTGTTAACTGTACACATTTTTGATATCGGTATTACTCAGATCAGCTCAATATGCATCCACTGCAACACAGACTGATATACATTTATTCAACAAATGTGTGATGAGATGTTGATTATCTGTGGTCAGATGATTCATGAGAGCGATGGGTTTGGGAAAGTTACTTTCTGGACTTAAGCTTTGCAAAAGCTACAGCAATTTGGTATTAGGTTATTTCCTTCCCTGTGGAGGTATCAGAAAGCCTATTCTGAGCTGAACTTTCAAGTGGAAACTATTCTCTCTTCTCTAATTCAAATATAGGCAAGTTCATCTGGGCAAAGAGCCAATGACGCCAGCTTTCCAGAAGCAGGTTTTTGATGACCGACAGAGAGAAGAAGAAATGTACAGGGTTTGGATGTATTTTTATTTCAGAATTGATTTATGAGCATATATGTTGCTGGGGCCTGTTCAGAGGAGGGGGGGATTAGACCCATTTTGTTATTGTAGAAATACGAGTGAGGAGGAGGAGGGGACCTCCCACCTAGCTGCTTAACGGCATATCTTGAAATAAAGCATACACTATTCTCACTGCCAATGTTTTGATAATATGTGCCACATCCTCTCCTTGCAGTTCTCATGAAACATCCAGAGAAAAAGCAAGGGAGGGTTACTTACAAAAAAAACAAACAAACACCAAGAGCTGTCTACCGTATAATGTACATGGAGCTATCTCGGCATGCCTAGATACTTGGGGTGAGGCTGTCTGTCACAGATGCTGTCGCTGATGCTGTGCTCCAACTGAAGGACCTCATTGTCTAAACATCCACTGTGTCCTTTAACATCAAATGTCCTTTAACACCAAATGTCCTTTAACACCAAATGTCCTTTAACACCAAATGTCCTTTAACATCAAATGCCTTCTTTTCACAAAGCCTGAGGGTTGTCCGTCAGATTGGAAAGCTAGCCTTGCTTAACTCTCAGCTGTTCCCTAGCTATATGGGTTTGTGTTCCTGGCATCTCCCATCCTCTGCCTCCTTATCCACTTGGGGTCCATGTAGCTAGGATCCGTCTCTTTGTCACTGGATTCACTTTGCCAAGGGAAGCAGAACTGCTCTGCTTAGCCATCCCTGACATGGTGCGTGTTCATGTGGATACAAGTAGGTAGATGTGGATTGAGTGGCAGAACAAGGTTCCGCTAGATGCCCCTTCTTGGTTTTGGTATGCCTACAAATGACTGTAGTTACTATCCTGTGTCCACTTACTTGGCAGTAAAGCCCACTAAACATAACTGGCATGGACCCAACAGGACCTGCTTATGGTTGCTGAAAGTTAAGAGCCTTAAACTAAAATACACTGTTTTTCTTGATCTTACTCTTGAGATTTTGGCTCCACCCATCAACAGAATACAGCTTTTAAGAACTTCTCTATAAACAGTTTGGTAGGGGGTGTAGCATAGGGGTGGACATTGTGCAGAGGTCTGAGAGCCATACGTTCATCCAGCAGACCAGCGCTGTCATAGGAACAGAATACAGAAATCTCGGCATGCCACGTCTGATTGGTGAATTCTGCTCGCATTTTCCAGATGTTTTAGGAAGGGAAAAAAATTGATTGGCACTAAATGCAAGACTTTGATTGAGGATTTCCTGGGGGGGGGGTTGTGTTTTGTTTTGTTTTTGTGCCCATTCAGATTAAAAGAGGAGTTCCCATGGTGGAGAAGGAGTTTCAGAGGAAATGTGTTGAAATTTCTCTCAAGCGTATCATCCGAGATGTCAGTGAGGTATGTCTTTGCGCCTGATTTGAACGGGTGGCTAGGATTACAGGGAGGAGAAAGAAGCTGCTTGTAATCCAGTCACAAAGTCAAAATGAATATATTGTAATCTGCTTCCCTTCCATTGTTTGTTTCTCTTTCCAGGGAAGTAGGAGGGAAAAGAATGTGAATGTGTGTTAGTTGCTAGTAGTATCTGGGTGTAGCGAAATCACCAGTTGGAATGCAGCAGTCATGTGAGGGGTTTTTCATTGTGTGTTTTTTTTCTCTTTTTTCCTTTTTTGTGGAGGAAGGGTGCCTCCTTGAAGTAACAGATACATAGGCTGAAATCCTGTTTGTGTAAGTTATGCTGCATAAGTCTGGAAATTAAAGATTTCCTAAATTTCTCCTGAGGTACTCATGGCTCCTTCATCGTTGGGAACCGACGGGATCCGTGGAATGCAACAGGGAAGTCTTTAGTTACTGCCGATAAAACTGCAGTTAATGATGAAGAAATGAACCACAATTGTCACCATTGTTTTGCTAGGGCTGTGATCCTAAATATCCTTATTTGGATCACTGGGTCATCCTTTGGGTGTAGTTACAAGCCCTGTTAACCAGTGTAAATAGGATGATCTTGGGTAAAGTGCAATGAATACTGCCATAAGAGTTACTGTTTGAGATTCCTAACTGTATACCAACTGTTATCTTTGCTTCTTGTGCATAACTCAGGCCCCCAACTTCCAGCCGACATTTGACCTCCTGCTTAATAACCCTTGGCGCCACAGGCATTTGACTTTGCGAAGATTTCAACAAGCTGCACGAAAGGTATCGAAACACATTCTTTGTAAGTTTGCTTGCCAACTGCAGATGTCCTGATCCATTTCCAAAATCTCTGTTAATTTGAAGATATATTTGGTAACTTTTAAGAGGTTTTTAGCACAAATTTTTTAAAAATCCAGATCCAGTCTCTGTTGCAAGTACTGTGGCCCACTGTGCTTGCTGGCAAACGTATATCCTAACACCAAGGGAGGTCCGGAAGAAAAGAAGGAGAAACTGGGTCTTCTTCGCAGTGGCCCCTCGCCTCTGGAACAACTTGCCTGTGGAGATCCGACTGGCTCCCTCTTTGGGTGTTTTCAGAAGTAAAGTTAAGACCTGGCTATTTAGTCAGGCTTTCCCTCCTGCCATATCTTAAATTTTGTCATTTTTGCCATCTTGAATTTATGGTAGATGTTTATTTGGTTTACTGTTTCTAAAAATTGTAATGTCCTTTGTTCTAGATGGGCGGGGTAGAAGTCTAATAAAATAAAAATTTTAAAAAATATTCTACACAGAACAGCTTTTCCTGTCCAAAAATATATATATATAAATTCTTGCATCCTTCCCCCCCGAAGAAAGAGTTTTGATCTCTAAACCACAATCCTATATTCACATAGCTGAGATTATACCCTGTTGAATTCAATGGAAAATATTTGCAAGTAGTCATGTATGGGGTTGTGCTATGAATGCATTTTAAAGGGGGTAGTCAGATTTTTAAAACCATGAAAAAGCTATATTTCTGTGCAGATGCTAAAGTTCAGGTTTGAATGTTATTCTACAGTTAGTTTCCCGTAAACCCAATTTGAATTACTACAAATTAATATATATATTGAAAACAGATTTCGTTTTGTGCATGCATGAAGTCTCAGAACATTCTAGAGCTTAAAAGAAAGACCCTTCGTCTCATCTCCCTCCCAGAGTGCATATATTGGCACATAAATACCTGATCCTCTCAAGATCCTTTTAGCCACCACTGTGGAAGCTTCTTAGAATGTTCGCTTTGAAGTTTGTTGAGTTAAATTCTTTCAGAATGGATAGCTCTAAATATGTTTCTCATCCCTATCTGAACATTCCTTATATTTTAAGAGAAAAAGACAGAAAACTATAAATTTCCATAAATCAAACACTAGGCTTTTAATGACATGTAATAGTTCTTATCATAAGCGGCCATCTCTTTTGAGTGGAGTGACCAGATCTACAGATTTTTAGTTTGTGGTTCATTATTGCTGTGAAAAAACTGCTCCATGTATTATTCCTTGCCTTTAGAGCCAGCTAGTTGAGTAACTTTCTTTCCATTTGGCATTTTGCCGTATATGAGTAAGCAAACCGTAGAGCCGCAAACCAGTTATTTGCCTGGGAGGAAGTGTCCACACCTGAAAAACTCTTGTCACGGTAGTCTCGCATCTTGTTTCTCTTTGTCCCTCAAAGGAACAGACCTGCAAATCCTGATAGCCAACTTCATCGGTAGACATAAAGAGAAAAACCTCTCTTAGCTTTGGCAAGAAGTTCAGTTAAGCTGAAAAGAATGGTTAGAGGAATATAACATAGCCGGGGGGGAGCACAAAATAATTAAAACAACTTGACCAAATATGCTAAGACCTTGAGTGACCTGATCAGTATAGAAATCATGTCTGCTACATCTTTTTTTTAATTTGAGAGAGGCAACATGAACCCAGGGTGACAAAAAAGAGAATATATTGCAGATGTATTGCCCAAAAATTAGGCAGAGGGGGTGCCTAGCTTAGTTCTCCAGTGAAATGAAAGATGTCTTCAAAAAAAGTTCTTTTTCTCACATTTTGGGCTGGGATGAAGTCAGAAAAATGCTGATGGTCATTAAAAGGCTTTAGCCATCTCTGCCAGGTTTCTCAAATCCTGTTTGGTGGGGGTTTCTCGAATCAGGTTGGGTAGATGGCATTGTAGGAGTACTAGAAATGCTTGCTGTTCTAGGATTTTGTAACTGTAGGTAAATTGATGCAGAAAGACAAGACTGTAATACAGCGTTTTTCAAAAATTGCTGTTTCATTTGGGATTTTTAGAAAGCGAAGAGGGTTATTCAGAAAGAAGGATATAAATCACCTAAATAATAAATAAGTGACTGTGATACAACTATTGTTTATACTGTCCAGTGTTTCTGTTGGCTTAGTTCAGACATGCCAAACAATAGTTAAGGAAACTTAATTGGCTTCCTCTGAATTACAGGAGTGCATGTTTGTGTGATGCACAAATCTCATTTGAATTAACGAACACTGCTTTTTCTAGATGTTGAAGGAAGTGCAGGAGGGAGGGATCAAAAAAATCTCTCTCATTTCACTAATGGGAATATTTCTGTCAGCTGAGAAACCGACTTGGATTTCACTTTTAAGTTTCCAAATGCAGCAAAGAGTCTTGTGGCATCTTAAAGAGCAATAAGTTTAGAATCTGAGCTAAGCTTTTGCAGATTGCAGCCCACTTCATCAGAGGTAAATAAAACTTGGCCAGAAAAAAATTTAGGGAGCCACAACATTTTCTGTTTTTTTTTTTCCTGCAACAGGCTATCACATTTACCCCACTGGAAATTTCTGAGTTTTCAAGATGCTTCAGGTTTCTTACCTCTGTAATTTCTACCAACAGTGGGTCTGCATATTTTCTTAAAAACTGAGGAGAAATGTACATAAAGATATGCATGCAACCATGCTGGTTTCAATATACGTATTTACAGAAAGCTCATTGAATAACATAGTAAATAATTCTTACAGGTCCTCCTTCAGTGCCGGCTAGACCGTGTGATAAATAGGCTACATGAAGTATTTAAGGGTATGAAGGATAAAGAATTGGAGGAGGCATTTATATCAGGTAAACCTTCTGAAGCACAACACTGTTTTTCATTTTAAACAATACTACTTTCATTTTATGAAAGACAATAGCCAGATCACCCTTGCCAGTTTATGCTTGCATGAGGGGAATGTGTATGTATGGGTGGCAAATTTCCACTCATTAAAGAGGCACTGATTGCATTCCTCAGTGATCAGACATTGCTCAAGAACACAATCAGCACCTCATTAAGGAGTGGCCATTTGCCACCAAGACTTCCACAATTTCCTTTTCACAAATGTAGATTGGCAACATGTTCTGTAGAATCACAGCAGCCCAGAAAAGATGCCTGAACATGTGATGGTGGTGAATGAGATCTTCCATAGTGAAACCTTACATGTTTTTGTACATGGAAAAAGCTCAGGGAGATCGTGCTATGAAAAGGTGGCTTCTGTAGCCTAGCCTTGCAGGACAGTAATTGTGCCATACCTTCCTGTCCTCTATTGCTGAGCCTCACCTCACAGGTACTGAAACAGCAGTAGTAGGGGGAAAGGTCTAAATTGCTTTGTTCCAAAAAAAAGGCAAAGGATACAGAAATAGATGGGGAGAGGACATTTTCCCTTCTTCCAAGCTGCCAGGGCCAAGATGTGGTACAGCATGTGAGCAATGACTTTCTGCAATTCATTTTAAATGGAGTAGCACATGTGTGACAGCCCCCGCCATCAGTGTGCTTGTGATTTTAAGATTGATCCTTGTCTGTCCTGTGCAACAGAATGCAGCAGCTTCAAAACAATCAGCACAGCAGCCATGGGTGAAGAGAAGAAAGTATCTTTTTTACTGACTGGAAATCGCATATTGCCTTCTGAATTCCCCACATACAATCCACCTCGATGGGCTGATGATCTGGTAGGTCCTCCTGTGGCACTGGACAATGATGTATATCTTGTTTAAAGAAGAAGGACCGCTCTTTCATATCTTGGTCAACTGCTTCCTGTAATTACAACATTGGCATTAAAATGTTTGCCAGCACCAGTAGGTGAGCAGCAAAACAACAAGATCATCCTTTGAACTTGACTGAATATCCCACTGCCACTAAATGAGATCATGAAAATTAGTATGGATGTTAATGAGAATACTTGAGGGACAGATGAAGGAGAGAAGGAAATTGTTTTTGAGGTAAAGGGAAAGACAGGAGATCCAACAGAGAATGAAAATGGGTCTTCATATCCACCCACCTTCTAGCACAGCCGTCCTCAGTTGGTTGTTACCCTTTCATTCATGGAAGCTTTGGCCCTTAGAGAATGGATAAAGAGAATTGGATACAACTCACCATTAATAAAGAGATTAAAAGAAGCAGTAAGTGTGTGTTGTGTCCCTTGTGGGCCTCCATTGTGTATTGGAGATTTTATTTAGTAGCTGCATTAATGTCCTTATTTGTTTCAGGCACCAGAGGTTCTTGGCATCGTTCCTATCCAGTCTGCAAAAGTTAAGATCAAACAGCTTCACCACTTCTATGAACTAAAGGTAGAACTTTTTGTTCATGAAGGCCATTCTCTGTTTTCCTCAATGCACTTTGTTGTAGAAGGCAGATCTCAGAAAAGTTATAATCTCTGGTACCAACAGCTTCTCAGATGGCAAGTTGCTGTACTGGCTGAGGGATCTAAGAGCTGTGGGCCGCCAATACTCAACTTTTCAGTGCAGTGGTAGAAAAGGTTAGATGTTAAGATAAAGCATGTTCAAGAACAGATAAGTGGCAATGGCCTATTTCCAGATCTTCCAGGGAAATCTTTTTAATGTGTTGATCTAGAAATCCTTCCTACTTTAAAGTGCCTTATTTATACAGTGTTATTTGAAGATGTGAATTACACTGAATAAACTATTTCCTATACATTCATTTAGAGAAATTCATTTGCTTATTGGCAAATTTCTGGAGTATTACAATCTTTTCACAATTTTTGTTCCAAGGTCCCTCAGCATTTTAGCCTCATGGGATATCAACCATTCTGTACACACCATGCAGCAACCAGTTACAAAGTTCCAAAATACTCTCAAACTCTGAGGACAGGAGCAGAGGTAAAAAGTCAGTCCAACATGACTGTTTTCCTTCAGTTGCTTCTTCCTTGTTTGTGTTTCAACCTTTAGTGGTGTCAGGGTGGCTTTCCAAAGTATTTACTTTCTGCTTTCTATCAGGAAGAACTAATTCCAGTAATACCTGCTTCAGAAGAAAAGCTGCCTCCCGACTTGACTACGCAAGAGGATGGACTTACAACCTCCCTGTTAAACCTTAAAGCTCCCGAAGCTTTATTACATCCTCCAAGCCACCATCCTCTCCAAGTTTTTGTGAGTTAATATTGAACAAGTCTCGGAAACTGGCCTTCAAGGAAGAATAAAGAACATAATATGTAGTTAGATTGTTGGTGCAGAATTTGAGGGCAGTGGCCTTCGATCTCTTCCACACAAAAGACCTCACTCTTGGGCATAACATGAAAATTAAGCTTTTTCAGTTGGGATTAATATACTAGAATTCAAATTCCAGGTATGAGGAATTCCCTTCTTTGGAATTGGACCAAGATTTTTAGCTGAGAGAGAGGGAGAGGCAAAGACAGACAGACAGACATAAATTATTCTTATATCCCATCTTTCTTCTACGCTGTTTCACCGAAAATAAGACCTAACAGAGGCTGCCAGCTTCAACACCGGTGGCTTTATGGGGATGGGAGGGAGTCTACTTATTGACGGGGTGGCGCAATGAAGTCACATAGCTCCCCTCTCCCCTCCCCTCCTGCTCCTTCCTTCCTTTCCTCTCTCCTCCCCTACCATTGTGACATGCCCCGGCCGCAAGCACCAGCAGTGTAACTTGAAACTTTGGAATTTATTTAAAAATAAAAGATTGCACTGGGCTGCATTACGAGCCGACATGGGCCGCATGTGGCCCACGGGCCACGGGTTGGAGAAGCCTGACCTAACCCCAAAATATGCCCCAGTTAAGTGAAACCCTGCCCTCCACCAATGTGCACCAACCAGAAGAAGACATGACTGTCTTTGAATAAACATAGATTGTTGTACATGAAAAAAAATTAAGCATCCCCTGAAAATAAGCCCTAATGCATTTTTTGGAGCAAAAAGTAATATATGACCCTGTCTTATTTTCAGGGAAATACGGTAGTACTGGAACACTGCACAACTAACAATACAAAATACTGTCAACTGTAAAAGTGAAATATGAACATCCATAAAAGGAAGGCATTAAAATGCAGTAAAACAGAAACAATAAAGTTGCCTCAGGACTGCACCAAACACTCATCAAGTTTCCAAAAGCTGAAGAATAAGAATGTTTTCAGTTGTTGTTTGAAAGAGTTATTTATGTAGGCAAACCTAACATCACCTGGGATGATGTTCCACAGACAGCGCACCACTATCTAAACAGCTAAAAAGTGGTGACCACAATGTACACCCACAATTTTTTGTGATGTATTTGTTCAGTAAGCCTTGGAAAGGTTTTGGTTTCAGTGTCACTTTTTGTTTTGTTTTCAGAATCCTAGTCCAGGATTGCATGAATTCAAGGCACCCTTCTCTTATACAGAAAGCAGCATTGAATATCATATTTGCCCATTTCCGAAGTATGCCCTTACCAGGAAATATCCACTAAAATCCAGTATTCCAGCCATGCAAAAGAATTTTTTCGATCACGGGGTAAGAGTGAATATTTAAAGTCATTGCAGCTGGAAGTTTTGTTTGCTTGGATTGATAGTTGTTTTTCACAATGGGTATATCATTGTGCTTATTTCAGGAAGTGATTCATGGAGTAACTAACTGGAAAAAATTCCCAGCGGTTATCAATTCAACTTTACCTAATGTACCAGCTCTGACTGGCCCACCAGTACCATTCTGGTAAGAAACAGGAGTCATGTTTGCTTAAGCAAAGCCATAGATGCAATTCTTATCAGTGCCTTTATCTCTTATCCCCAAGTGACTCTTTTCCATTTGATGAGAGACAGCAATGGAAAGAACATGGAGAGGGTTCCTAAGTACAGTGGGGGGAGGTCTGGTATAGGTGGACCCTGACAGGGAGCAGATGGCCCTTCCTGAGGCATCCCTGCGTACTGATATGCTACTTTTCTTATGCAGGTTTTCTAATGGATTAAAAGATTTTACAGTTTATACATTTTTAGCCATTCATGCCGTTACAACATACGTATGCCTGGTTTTGTACGCATTTTATTGCTGGGAAAGTGGCCACAGGCTTTGCACATTTATGGATTTCCAAGGCAAGATGGGCTTTGTTGTGTGACAATTTGCATTAGGAGTAGAATAGACCCTTTCATCTAAACTGATGGCCCAATAATGTTCTTTCCATTCCTGCCCTGCTTTTGAGCCAGTGAGGGAAAAGGAAGATGATTGTTGAGCTGTTAAGAGTCTTGCTCAGCAAGTTGTGGTCACTGTTTATGAGCCCTTGAGGTGGGCTGACTGGGATCAATACAAGCAGTGGCTCAAAGAGGCAATGGCCCCTTTGTGAACGTGTGCTTGGCAGCTGACATGCCAAGAGTCCACATAGTTATAGGTCAAAGTTAAAGGAGACTAAAGATGTAAAAGATGGGGGTGAGGAAGAGAAGGCGGTGTGGTGGGCTTGGTAGCATTTATTTTCTTGGTTTGCTTTCCTTTTTATAACATTTTCAATAAGAATAAAGTGGGCAGTATGTAGTCAGCATTTCAATATATAGCATGTTCTTTATTTTTCTTCAGAAAAGAATGGATGTAGACATTGATGCCAGGAAAATATACCAGATACGACGTTTTTGTATACCTTTGTGGTGGTAGAGCTCATACAGTTTACATACTCTCTTCTTGTGTATCATGGATTTATATGTTCCACAGCACTGATCCCTATAATGAAGACATGATTCCAAAATCTGGACCTCCAGTTCTGGATGGCTTATCAGAGCAAGACAAGGAAAATGTCATCGATGAGTAAGTTTCCTCTCTGCTCTCTGTTAAAATAATTTTGAGGCAGAGCTTGAATACAAAGCGCAACCACAAATACAAATTTATATAAATATATGTTTTCTTAAAACCATCATATGTGTTTGTGCTTGTGTGTGTGTATGAATTCACACACACATGCCCATGATTGAAAGTTTGTGAGATAGCTTTCATATATGCAGTACTTGCATTTCTATAAACTGAAAGTAATACGTTAATCTCCTATGTGGCCTCAAAACAGCATAAAAATGAAATGTCTTTTAATTTTTAGAGAGACAGAAGGAGAGGCTGCTATTTTACTTACACCAGAGATGACAAGAGCTGAATTTCCACAGATTGACCTTGCAGCAGATGACAGCAAAACCAAATTACAAAAAGAGGGAAGGTATGCCTGCTTCTATTAAAATCTCAGGCTCATAGATGAACATCTGCTGTGCTTCTCCATATGCTGGACCAAGTTTCTAGGAGTGGGTCTTTTAGATCAGCTCTTCACTTGATGCAAGAAATCTGGAACAAGTGCTTTCCTGAAGAAATAGCTGGCCAATGTTTGCTTGAAGATTTGAGCTAATGGTATAGTTCAGCTGGGATGGTGGATCTATCACGCTCACAAGGTAGCTTCGGCCAGTGGTTCTCAACCCAATGTTTCAGACCAACTTATAGAATCCATTACCAGTGATTATCCTGGCTGAGGCTTCAGGGAATTTAAAACAAAGCTTCAGCTCAACAGGCCTAGATAAACTGTAGACTACCATACCACTTTGCATTTGGAAGGAAAGAGAATGTTTACGGTACGGCCATCTTTAGCAATCACTGAGTTATTTCAGTAGATGTTACATTATTAATCCATAATCCTTAGAATGCTTCTGCCCTTAGTTGAAAAGAAACTGCAACCGAGCTCAAAATTGGTACTAGTTGTGGAGTTTTACCAAGCTGGCTAAAGGGGAAACTTTCAAGTTGTACAGAGCTGTCCTGTTTTAAAAATAGTACCTTTCAGTTCAAATGCTTCCAGCTGGCATGCCTAGATTTCCATAATAAAGTAATAATGTTGGTAATTGAATTGATAATATTGATAAAGGAACTTTGCCTAGCCAACCATGGGGCTAATTAAGCTTGTCCATTCTTAAGTTCAGTCTCTCAAAGAGGATAGTGCGAACTGGACTTCAGAGTGTGATCTTCTGATTAGTTTCATTCATCTGAATTAGTCCATTAACATATTGTCAGCAAATAAATGAATGCATTTGATTTTTTCCAAAGAGCTGGGGGTGATTAAGACTGAGGCCATGGGAAGGGTCAAAAATGGTTTTAAATGCTTGGATTAGCTTCTGCACCCTCTGAAACGGATGCAAAAGTTAATTTGGCTTTGATCTGACTTTTCGTTAATTAATGGTGAATTTTTTTCCCCCAACTTTTGACAGCTGTCAAAATCTGACAGCTCCATTATTTCCTATGGGGGAAGAAAAAATTCACAAAAAATTAATGAAGACTCAGCAACTGTTCTAAATTCTTGGGTTCGTTAGAGGACCCCCTAAGTTGTGTGCAAACCTGATTTGGCTTTGATCTGACGTTTCGTTAATTTTTTGTGAATTTTTGTTTTTTGGCCCATAGGAACCAATGGACCTGTCAAAATCTGACAGCTCCATGCTTTCCCTTGGGGGAGGAAACAATTTACAAAAAATTAACGAAAGTTCAGATCAAAGCCAAATCAGGTTTGCACACAACTTAGGGGGTCCTCTAACGAACCCAAGAATTTAGAACAGTTGCTGAGTCTTCATTAATTTTTTGTGAATTTTTTCTTCCCCCATAGGAAATAATGGAGCTGTCAGATTTTGACAGCTGTCAAAAGTTGGGGGGAAAAAATTCACCATAAATTAATGAAAAGTCAGATCAAAGCCAAATTAACTTTTGCATCCGTTTTAGAGGGTGCAGAAGCTAATCCAAGCATTTAAAACCATTTTTGACCCTTTTATGACACACTTAATTTTGCAAAAATTGACTTCGCAAAGCCATTAAAATGTAGAGTCAGCTTCAATACATTCCAATGGAGGATACATTGTTTCGCTTAGCGATGTTTCCTATGGGTTTTTTCGCTTAACCGGTTTCCAATGCATTCCTATGGGAAATGATGTTTCGCATAGCGATGGTTTCACATAGCGATTTTTTTTGAACCAATTAACATCGCTATGCGAGGCACCACTGTACCTCCTTCTGGCCTGCTGCCACCCCACCCAAAGCTGCTGTGCAGATAGTGGGGAAAACTGTATATAACAACACATTTGGTTGTGATGATGGTAGGAAGGTCATAGGGATTTTGGTACAGATAGCAATCCCTTCTGTATAGGTCATGGTCCCGCTTCTGCTTTTCCCTTGGCTACTGGTTTAAAACTTGTCCGACAAATCAGATGCTCATATGTTAAACATACTGATTGATTTGTCCCTTAGACTTACTGAAATCAGGTAGACCTTACTTCTGTAGGAGCAGGCTGTTAGTATTTTCCTTTCTCTTTCTAGTGACATAAATGTGGAACCTAAAGTTGCTTCCTGTATGTCTCTGAATACTGCAGTACCTGTCTCCCGGTAAGTGAATAATGTGCATTGAATTGTTTTGCTAAATGTTGTTCTTATACGCCATCAAGTCACCTCTGACTTGCAGCAACCCTTTAAGGTTTTTAAGTGTGTGGGATGTTCAAGGTGTAGGTTACTATTGCCACCCCCAGTGAATTTCATCGACTGAGTAGCAGTTTGAATACAGGAAGTGACCTAATGATGACAACTATTGTGAGAGCCAGTAGATAGTATGTTGATAATGTGTGAACTGTTGTTGGTGAAAGATAATCCTACTTATTTCAGTAGCCTCCTTAGTGGGTGCCATATGAATTAATGAAATTCAACTATATTTCATTAGTGCAAACATACCATTCCATACTTTAATTTTCTCAAGGCAATTTCAGACTGTCTCACATATTAGATAGACTATGTATGGGCATGACAGTCTAAATAAGATAATTTCTCAATGTAGACTTTAAAATATGCCTTACCTCATCTGGCTTATTTCTGGTGACTGTTGTATCTTACTGATTTACATCACTGTAATTATTTTACATTCAATTTAAACAATCAGTTTAATTGTTTATTCTTTTTCAGAGATGTAAGGGACGTTGTGGATTGGTATGTTCAAACACAGAGTAATATATTTGGGAAAAGGATTCAAGAAAGTATGGAGAAACTGAAAGAAAAGGCAATTAGAAAGGACCTGGTTTTAGACTAACTACTCTCTCTGTGGAATAGTCTGAGTTTGGGAGAATCTATTTTCATGTGTCAAATTTTCTACATTTTTATATACCATAATTTATTTTGAAAATACAAGTCATATATTATTACAAAAAGTGAGTACACAAATCAGATATTCTTTTAAATGAAACATGCTATGTTGGCATTTCTCCTTGGTAATGCTTTTTTATACGTCAGAAGATGGATTATGAGCACATGAACAGTTTTCTGGTGCTTCACTTACTAGCACAGAGAAGGACTGAAAGAAATTATAAATAAATAAATAAATATCAATAGCTGAGTATCATCATTATTGTGTTTATTATTTTACAAAAAAGTTAACTCTGAGAAATCTTCTGTCTGGTCTTTCAACAACCATTTGTTGATATGTGTATCAGCTTTAACCCATACTTTACACCGGTGCACATGATACAAAAAATATTTTTATACGACTTTCTGTGCCATGTTGTATGAGAGCATTTATAACTTTCAGATAAAATGTGGAGATACAATTTGTGATTGTTGCCTTTTGCTATATTGTATTACTATGGCAATTATAAACTGGTTTAGAAGTTAGCTCTAGATGAGGCATATTTTAGTCTACATGGCTCATGGCTGTCTTTGAGCATGGGTAGGGGGTTATTTATGTTCTGCCTTCTGCCTTCTACTCACATTACTTCGTATTTACTACATTTGATGACTAACACCTGGATGTAGGTACAAACTGCACTGAAAAGTATAGCATTTTACAATGATGCAAAGGATTAAGAAATTCCGTGATAGCATATCTGTGATGTGTGGGTTGCAGTCATCAGATAGTGGGAACATGCTGAACCTTCCTTTAGGGATCTTGAAAATGGGGCAGTTTATCCGCTTTGGGTCACTTGTTGGGAGAAATGAGGCGTGATGATGATGATGATGATGATGATGATGATGATGATGATGATGATGATGATGATGATGTTTAAACCTCATTCTTAAGTGACAATCCAGAAAAGATAGGAGAAATCTTAAAGGCTAGTCCCCGTGGTCATCAGCTGTTGTCATGTTTTCCTAGCAATGCAAGCTAGCATGTTCATTGTCCTGTGCAGTTGCCAGGAGTACTGTAGTCAAAATGAGTCATGGGCACACCCCGGTGAAGGATTCTTGGCCCTGTCTGTCAGAAGATACTGTCCAGCTATTCTACCCTTAATAGCTTTTCTCGGATGTTGTTCTGTGTGGTCAAGCTTTCAAGGTAAGTGAGATATTTAAGGAGTGGTTTTACTAGTTCCACACCCCCAGTGAGTTTCCATGACTGAGTAGGGATTTGAACCCTGGCCTTTTGAGTCCTAGTTGGTCATTCTGTCTGCTGCACCAAACTGGGTATCCTTTTCTCTGATAAGGTGAGAAAAAAGCATGCAGTAGTTGCAAACTGAAGATGTAGATGAAGGCTGGATCTCTTGTAAAATACCATGAACGAGGCAAGGTGAGTGTATAGCAACACCCTCATCTGGAAGCAACTTTAGAGCTTAATTTTCATGATCATCAGTGACAAGACACACTTATCCATTCCACCAGTGGCAGATTTTCACAAGTTAAAAATCCAGCCCGGGTTCCTGTAAGAATAATGGCATCCATAAGTAATGCAAGTGATTTTTGCACAAGAGATGGCACATTTTCACATTATCTGTATATTGGCACTTAAAATGCAGAACCATAGATCTGTTTTAAATCTCCAGGTTTGGTCATGGGCATCTCTAGGTAAGGGCTCTAAGGGAGAAAACAGTCTTCACTGGCATAGTTACATTGGGTTTAATAGTGGTTCATTTGCTAGCTCAGGACTGTATACACCTGAAGACCATTCTGCAGAACTGGAAATTGTACTGAATTTCTCTTTGCATTAGTTCTAGAAATTCATTTCTGCTAGTGTAACAAGGTTACTGCTGCCACATTGACACTGTTGGGTTCAGCTATTGTTGCCCAGGCAGAAGTCCATTCCTCTTATCAAGCAAAGACCCTCCAGTCTTCTTTGTTTCCCCAGTGATCTGTTCCTGCCTAAACCCTGATGGCTCGCCATGCCGAGCCATGGTTTCATGATCCTTGCCACAGTAGCTACAGAGGTGCTGCCGGAAACCATGAAGAACAATTTGGAAGTTACACTTCAAACTTTCTGGAAAGCATTGGATTGGGGAAGGCTGGAGTATAACATACTGACTACCGAAGTGTATTACGAATGGACTCACAGTCTGAGTGAGTATAAATTGCTACCAGCTATACATATTCACGTGTTCAACTTGTCCTTTTTCAGTTCGTGGAATGTTAGGCGCTTTCTGCCATGAGTGTGATTTTGACATGAGATTGTCTTTGTAAGAAATGCATCTCTAGAGAGAGACTGTGATGTATCCTAACAAATGCTCTCACTAGACACACATTAAAAGTTTCTCTTTTGCCCCAAGCTTGCACTGTTTTGAAAACACTGAAAATATCCTTTTTTTAAAAAAATGTAATCTCACCCACTGCTTTAGAGCCTGAGCAATCCCAAACAACCAGCATAAGAACATTTTGTTTCCCTGTCTGCAAAGCGTTAATGCCATCTTAATGCAGAAGTGATCAATTGTTAAGGGGATAGAATGACCCATACAAGTCAGTCTTTTGAGTTCTTTAGGACTAACTTGCTTGTAGCAGGAGGTGGAATTGCAATAAGGTTTGTCAGATTAGTTTTAGGGATCTGAAGCCTACACTACAATTTCAGTAAGGTTTTCCTCTACAATATGTTCTACTCAGAATTACTGTTACTGTATCCATCTTCTGTTGCAATATTTGTCTTAAACATTAGGCGGCAGCAACAGCAAATGAACTGAATTTTTTATAAAGCAAGTTAAACACGTTGGGCATTACCTGGGTTTGATGGCACCTTGGATAATTCAGTGTTCACAGATGGTATAAAAAGCCCACCTCCATGTATAAACTGCTGAAAATAGTCAAGTCTTGTAATGGAGATGCTCCATTGGACACAACCCAATTTTTAAGGTAGAGGAAATTCTGAAAATAAATACAATGTTGTCCAAAATTATAGTTGGCTTAATCCATATGGAGAGTCATCTAAATCTGTAAAGACATAAAGCAACCTTAGTACGTGACCAGATGAATATGTTGATATCAAAATTCTGTTAATCAGCAAGGACAGCACAAGACATTTTGCTGTCTGAGTAGCATATGGTGTCCCCAACCCTATCAAATTAAGGTTTGTACAGTGAGCCAACCCAATGTTAACACATGAGGCAGGAAGTCCAATAAGTTCTGCACATTCCTGGCAGTAAAAATTAAACACATTAAATAGCAAACCATTTAAGTAGCATTTCATGATGCTGAAATGTGCTGCCCCGAGGCTGTAGCTTTACTCTCCCCAATGTCAGGGCCAGCCCTGCACAACAGCGTTGCAGCCCGTAAAGCAACTTCTCTTGCAGGCTAAATAGAATCTGTTTTCTGCTTCTAACCAAGCAGTTAAGCTTCATTTAACTCCACATATTTTTAAGAAAGGTGTCAACTTATGGCTCACTAGATGTTTTTGACTCCATTTCCCAGAAGATTCAGTCATCACAGCCAAAAATAGGAGATTGTGTGAGTTGTAATCCCAAATATCCAGAAAAGCAAATTGGCCACAAATTCGATTACCTGTCATAGGCTAATACATTTATCAGGCCAACAAAAACAGCAGCAAAAAGTATGCAAAAATCTAGAGCAGTAAGTCTCTAACTTGGTGTTATTTGAGTATAGCTTCTAGAAGTACTAATTGGCATAGTCAATAGTCAGGCCTTCTCTGTACTTAAGTCCGCCAATGAAAATTCCTATGTTTCTAATATTCCATTCAGAAATGCATATTCAGTGGGCTAGAGTCAGATATCCCCTAACTCAGCGGTCCCCAACCGTGGGCCTCCAGATGTTCTTGGACTTCAACTCCCAGAAATCCTGGCCAGCAGAGGTGGTGGCGAAGGCTTCTGGAAGATGTAGTCCAAGAACATCTGGAGACCCAAGGTTGGGGACCACTGCCCTAACTATATGTGAATTTAATCTATTTTCTTGATCTACAGTTATTTGTTGTGTGCATGATAGTGTTCCTAGTAGAAACTATTTTCTTATTGCCATTTCATAATCTATATTGTATGCTAATTGTAGGAGAGTTGATCCTATTTTGTTATCAGCCATGCTTATTGGGAGCCATGGCACATTTGAAGGGGGGGTACAGACTGGAAGCAATTCTTCATACACCACCTTATAAGTTTTGTTACGTGACTTATACAGTCTTAATTTGGCCTATATTTATTTCATAATTGAGTTCATGGCCATGGCCCAAAAAAGGTTGAGAATGGCTGCATTAGACTAATGTTCCTTTAGTTGCTTTGGACAACAACACCAAAAGTCGTAACTAGCATGGCAGATGTTTATGAACTGTGGAAGTTTAAGGGATTATTGGGAGGATTTGCTTATTGTTTTAAGAACAACCTTTTAATAATTAACTTTATTAAGACCAAACTATTGGCTGCCTTAAAGGTTAGATTTTCCTGATCTTTGAAGCATAGCAGATTAGAACAAATTGACTCCTATGAATATCTAGTCATATGATTCCATGTGGCTTTCAGACGGTGGACACATGGGAAATATGTTAAGGCGAAGGTGGGACAAAGTGTGGGAGCAATAACCCACCTTTAATTATTTTTTCTTTTTTCTTCATGAAAGATGAGGAACTGTTGCTACCAACAGATATGTGATTGTGTCCATTTTCCTTTACCTCCCTCTTTAAGGATTCCATTGAAGAAGAGTGCGGTATACTAAAGTCTTCTAATAAAACTTGTTTATTGTTTAACATATTCTCAGTTGTATGCATATTTTGTTTGCTTACTTCAGGTTTCAACAACAGGTCATAACTTTTAACTTTCTTAAAATCAGAAAACTTCATTGTAAAAAAAGGGGAGAAGAACTTGGTGCTTTTCGAACCCATTTGGACTCAGTGCCCCACATTGGGGTCATATGCTTTGAAGGTTTTATTTCCAAGGGTGGTATATCCAACCCATTTGCGGCTCCCATACCTTCTGGCCTGGGTTTTGTCTCAGGCATGGTCTGAATGGACTGGGTCCACTGGATCTCCCAGGGTTCACTATACATTGTCCTAAGTTCAGCAGAAGAAGGCCTGAAATCAGAGGGGTTAAATTACAGCTGAGAAAAATGCTGGGCAATTAGTATCACAGACAGTTGAATCACTGCCAGATTCTCCTCCCCCACTACCCAGAGTGAGAGATAAACTTCGGCGGAGACTCACAACAGGGAGGTCTGAGGCTTGAATGAATGCTTCTCACAAGAACATCAGGTTGACCAGTCCTGAGTTTTAACAGGATGGAATGTTTCCAGGAAATAGATTATTGTTGCTGCTATATAATTTATACTCAGAGGCTTGGAAGCTCATGGAAGTAACAAGTCAATTCCCTGGCTCCTGTCCACACTCCTGCTTATCTTGAACCTTGCTCTCTTGACCCTTGGCTTTTGGACTCTGACTACAGTTTGTGTTCTGGCTTTGACAATTTGGCATCTGTTTTGTATCTCACAGACTTCTGACCTTGGACTGACTTATTGGACTTTCGCCTGCTGAATCCCCTAGGAATGTGACATACATCCTCTCCACTCTCTCTGCTGCTCCTCTCTTCTAACCCAAGCTTTATATTCTCTCCTTTGTTTTCTCTGTTCCATTTCCCCCCAGTAAGGTGGCTTTCCATATGTCTGCCTACTCCACTCCTTTTCTGCATGCTCATGGAGTACTCTGAACTCTACCCATTCGCCCATCCACAGGTCCTCTTGTACTATTTCCACTAGATCCTCCTTTTCTGTTCTTCTCCAACATGCTTCTTCTTCCCCCTCTTCTCCCTCCCTTCTCTCTCCCCCTTTCCCACCCTTTCCCACCCAATTAGCGCCCTCTGTTGCCTCAGTTTTTATCTCTAACTGCTTTAATCCCTTTTCAATATCCAACATGCTTCTTCTTCCCCCTCTTCTCTCTCCCTCCCTTTTCTCTCCCCCTTTCCCACCCAATTAGCACCCTCTGTTGCCTCAGTTTTTATCTCTAACTGCTTTAATCCCTTTTCAATAAGTTTTGTCCCTTTTTCTCCTTCTCTTGACTAAGAGACAGACGATACACCCTACAGAGTCTCCTCACAAGATAGCACGGTTTTTAAAGCCAAAATTATATCTCTGTTTCTTTTTTGGTTGCAAATCTCATTTCTTAATTTATGACGTCCCCAGGTGTGTTGCTGCAGCTGTCTGTTCTCAATCTGGAAACAGGTTTAGGGTCTGTCAACTTTTTGGCTTGGATTTATTCTATATTTTTTTTCCTTCTGCTGTTGCCGCTAAACCCTTGACATCCTGGTATCGAAGATTATATCCAACTCTTATGGATCACCCTGGCTTGAAGCCTGAGGTTCACAAAATTATCAGAATGAGTATTTCTCCTTCACATATGTTATCCATGGAAAGGGTGCCAAAGGAATAGTTAAACAGAGGTTACTGAATATAAACAACTAAGTGCCTATAGGCATTGCAAGGGAAACTTGTTCTTCTCAGTCACTGGGCTCACCATGACTTCCTCATAAAGATGGAATGGCTTGCCTAGGTTAGTTAAGCATTCCTAAATTTCTCTTCAGCAAGATTTAATGCTCTTCCTATGATGAATGGACCCATTTTGAGCCTCTATGTAAAAGTGTAGTTATAGTTACCTATAGTTACCCTTTGTGCATGACAGGAGAGGAAGCTGAACACATTCCATATGCGTTGTCTCCAACACATTTTTTGTATCACCTGGCAGGACAAAGTTCCAAATAAAGT